CCGCAGCGCGCCGGCCGAGGCGGCCATTGGAGGGTGAACCAACGGCAAAGGAAGACCTTTCTCTCTGTCTCTCTCTCTCTCACTGTCCACTCTGCCTGTCAAAAAAAAAAAAAAAATATTCATCAGTATCTTTGAGGAGAAAGTCCAAGTTCCAAATTTACTTCCAATGGATCAAGAAAACATCTTCAAGGAAAAGCCCCACATACCGGGGTACTTCAAGAAGGTCATAGAAAAACAAAAAAGATAATTTTATTCAGGTACAAAACATTTTGAAGTACATGCTTAGCTTTTTCCTATTATACAATTTCCATGAACTTTTTGAATACCTCTCTAATGTGAGCATGTGTTATTCCATTGGAAATCTCATAGGCAATCCGTGATCACACAGTTCTGAGTAAATGCTATGCAACCTCACTTATCTACACTTCTGTGCCCTTTCTTTTTTCTCTGTTCCTGGAAACCCATTCACCTTTGACAACTTAGTTTCCTAAGAGTGCTCTATAATGACCTCCAGGGCTATGTGTGTTTCTTAATAGATTTTAGAAGTAAAATTCTTCAAAGAATTGAAATATAATTCTTAGAGATAGAGGTGAAAAAAGACAGTTGGGCTAAAAGAGTAGCTTAGAATGAAGACACAGATCAATTATGAACTGAGTATTATGAAGGTTAAATGAAGCTCTTCTCAACTGGCCAGAAAATACAGATTTTATGTTGACTTGTTTTTCCCTTCACAATCCAATCTGTAAGCTTATGAAGCTTCAGAATGTAACTTGCACAGTTCATGATCATCCATCCATCACACAGAGGGCTTATACGTAAAAACAGAGACAAATATTCATCTCATGTGGGGTACCCTTAAGCATTCTAAGCCCAGATAACTAACTTGTGAGTTCTCCTGACATTCATCCTGTTACAACTGTTATCCTGTTTAAGACATTCACGCACTGAGTACATCTGTATATAGTTGGGAAAAGGGAAGAGAAAACTGTGTCAGTAAAAGACCATTTACAAAAAGCTCCTATATTACCAGGGAGGATGTGAATATTGAAGCAGCATATGCTTCTCACTAACATATTCGCAAGGTGTAGCATCTTGTGTCAGACAGTGAGAGTGCAGAGGATTCTTTCCAACACGGCGCAATCCAGAAAACGCAGCCTTCCACTTCTGACCCTGCTTACAAACTCATGCTCCGTCAGAGAAGATAGTGGTAAATGAAGGTGATGCTCTTCTTCTGACAAGCCATCTGTCTTTATTTTTATTCTTCTAATTTTCTCCTGAGCTATCCACACAACAGTAGCAAATAACCTCTGTGGAAGCAATCTAACCCCGGGAACAGCACAAACAGACCCAGAGGAAAATATGACCCAACTCAGTTTTACATGAGAGGCATTCTAGGCAGCATTCTCTGGTCTGATTTTATGATCAGTTTTCAGGGAAGCCTTCTTGTAACTCGAGCCTGTAATCTTCTTACTTTCCACTGACACAAAATTAGAATAACAAATACCTCTACCTGCATATACAGGTAATTTTGGTGAACATCGTCTTCTTGTATCTACTCTCCTTAAATGGTCAGATATCCTAGCAGTTTGGGCAGGTACACTTGTTCTTCAAGTTAAGAATTCCTGCTCGCATCTCATCAACATCTATGTGAGTATTGCCCAAACCCATCCTATAGCTCTGTGTGAGGGTTCACACTGATCTGCTCCACTTAGTCAGACTTCATGCTAGCTCTGTAGTAAACAATTTCACCACAACCAAGACCTGTGTAATCCAGTAAGACCAAAGATACATTTTTCTAGTACTTTTTGCCATAAAAAAAGGACATTATGGGCTTTCAAGTTAATAGGAAGGGGTCTTCAAAAAGTTCAAGGGAGATGTTTTATGAAAAAATTACGCATGAACTTCAAGGTTTTTTTTAACAAAATAAATTGCTTGTTTCTTTAAAAATGTGAACTATGTTGAAATTTCCTCCATTTGTCAATGACATGAATGACTTCTCTGATGGATTCTATAATTTTTAAATACTGAAATAATAATTCCTCAATTTGGGTGCTATTCACATTGTGATAGCTAAATATTTGGCATATATTTTAAGTTTAATCTATTATTATAATTTTATCTATTAGTTTCTTAAACCTAAAAATAAATTTAAAAATATCTAGTTTCATATAAAATATGTGAATTAAGTTTATACATGTATCTTTTGAAAGAACAAGACACAGAAAGAGAGTCAGAGAGCTTACATTCATGGGCTCACTCCCCACATGCCTGCAACAGCTAAGACTAAGACAGACCAAAACCAGGAGCCCAGAACTCAATCTGGGTTTTCCACATGTATGGCAGGAACCCAACTACTTTAGCCGTCAGCCACTGTCAAATGGCTATCAGCAGGAACCTACAATCTGAAGTGGAGCCCAGATTTAAAGCTAGACATTCTCATATGAGATGCAGATATCTGAAGTATCTTAAATGCTACACCAAATGCCTGACCCTAAATTTATCTTTTAATGCTATTTTCCATGAACCTTTGGAAGACTGTCATATATTGTTATGAAATCATACATGTACAAACTCAGCAAAATTAAACTTCCTTAATAATAGAGCAGCTGCTAAGGTATCTGTATATCATTTTCACTCTGCTACTCTAAGCAAAAATAAGACAACACTGCTTGAGGCTAAATCAATATCAGCTGGATTAATAAAAGCAAAATGAATATATGTGCCTGGATGTTTCTCCCTCAATCACTGGAAGCTCAAACTTCTATTCTAGCTTTCATCTTGAATGACTGTCAGAAACATTGTGTTTTGGCTTCTGAGACAGCCACTGTCAAGCCAACATGTATGGGACCAGATCCGAAGAAATTGCCCAACAGATCTGTGGGGCTCGTCAAGGTCTGAGAATGTGTGGAAGTCAGATGATTATATTTGCATTGCATAATTGGCAAAGCCTGTCACAACACTGTGAGAACCAGCAGCTGCTCTCTGCTGAGAGCTAATTTCACCTGATCTATTTAATATTATAATGAATGTAATCCTCTCCATTTTCAACCAGAAGCCAGAGAGCACCGTTTATGGTTAAACCTGCATTTGCAGACAGATGACATGAGATTCCTCTGGTATTAGGAATTAATTTAAACAACAGTGTTGCCAGCGATGCCAATTTTTTTTATGTTGGTTGAAGGTTTTTGCTCTCCCGAGAAGCACTCTTCACTATAGTCTGAATTTTCCCTTCTCTGCTCAAGAATCCCTGGAAATTCAAAGTGAACTAAGATGTTGTTATTGATCGACAGGTGCCTGCCTACCCACCTAAATTGCCATGTGAAGCCTTGATCCCCAGCTCAGAATGTGACTTCCTTTGTAGACAGGGACTTTCAAGAGGTGACTGAGTTAAAATGAGGCTTTCAGGATGGGATGTAATACAGTCTTTATGGTGTTCTTATAAGAGGAAATCTGGACTCACAGCGAGGTGCCAAGAATGTGTGTACATGGCACAAGGAATGTATAAAATGGGAAGGTGGCCATATGCAAGCTGGAGCTGCTTCAGGAGAAACCAAGCTTGCTGTCATCTGGACTTTAAATTGTAGTCTTCAGAACTGTGGGAAGGGGTCTGGCACTGGGGCATAGCAGGTTAAAGCAGTGGCCTACAGCAATGGAACCCCATATGGGCGCCGGTTCGAGTCCTGGCTGCAACACCTCCAATTCAGTTCCCTGTTAGCACCTGGGAAATCAGTAGAAGATGGACAAAGTCTTTGGGCCCCTGTACCCACATAGGAAACCAGAAAGAAGCTCCTGGCTCCTGGCTTCTGATCTTCTCAGCTTTGGCCACAGGGGCCATTTGGGGAGTAAACCAGCAGATGGAAGAACTCTGTCTCTACCTCTCTCTGTAACTCCTTCAAATAAATAAAATAAACCTTTATAAAAGAGCAGAACTGTTAGAAAGTACATTCCAGGTGTTTTTCCCACCCAGTCTACATTATTTTGTTATGGTACTGCTAGCAAATGAACACAGATGTTACCCAGTATAATCCATGGTAAGACTCCTCTCCCCAAAATCCTGTATAATTTTGCCACAATATATGCAGGAAGAGGGGCATTTCTTTAATCTAAGGCAAATGATTGCATTAAAGCAAGTCATTTTCTAGAAACTTATGTGTACTAAGGCAAGATGTTCCTTTTTTTTTTTTTTCTTTTTTGACAGGCAGAGTGGACAGTGAGAGAGAGACAGAGAGAAAGGTCTTCCTTTTGCCGTTGGTTCACCCTCCAATGGCCGCTGCGGCAGGCGCATCACACTGATCCGAAGCCAGGAGTCAGGTGCTTCTCCTGGTCTCCCATGGGGTGCAGGGCCCAAGCACTTGGGCCATCCTCCACTGCACTTCCGGGCCACAGCAGAGAGCTGGCCTGGAAGAGGGGCAACCGGGACAGAATCCGGCACCCCGACCGGGACTAGAACCTGGTGTGCCGGCACTGCAAGGCGGAGGATTAGCCTAGTGAGCCGCGGCGCTGGTCTAAGATGTTCCTTCTTGTAGCTGCCATCCCACTGAGCTGGTCCTGAAAGCACGGTTCAGAACTAAGTTATGTGTCTTCTGGGGCAGCCCCTTAATTAAAGGAAGGCAGCCATAGTACTTCCATGTCCTGTCTGCAAGCTTCTGGTTAAACCTTTCTGGAAGCTCTCAGCTAGCACCCTTGTGCTGTATGTTGTGTGCTGAGTGCATTCCACAATGTTTGTCACTCTTTGACCCCTTTCCCCTGGGCCACTGTAAAATGAGATACAAAATCACTAACGCACACATTATCCAGAAGTATGAAGTGCTTTAAGGTGGGTAGCTTTCTTGCTTTCCATATACTATTTTAAGATCCTCTCTATAAAGAAGGGATGAAAAAGCATCTTTAAGCCCTGGGATAGAATGGGCATGCGGTGAGATCCTGCAAGGACCATCACAGCTTTCTAATGTGATACAAGGGAACTGAGTGCTACTCACTCATTTTCCATCAGCTGAATGTTCTAAAAAATTCTGATGTATTTTCATTTTATTTCAAAGGCAGAGAGAGAGAGAGAGAGAGAGAGAGAGAGAGAGAGAGAAAGACAGGGAGGCAGGGAGGGAGGGAGAGGGAGAAAAAGAGGGAGAGGGACAGAGTCAAAGGTCTTCCATCTGTTGGTTCACTCACCAATGCTCACAACAACCAGGGCTGGGCCAAGCCAAAGCCAGGTGCCTGGAACTCAATCTGTACCTCCTACATGGGTGCCAGGGACCCAAGTACCTGGACCATCATCTGCTGCCTAAAAGACTGTGCATTAACAGGTAGCTGGATGAGAAGCACAGGAGCTGGGACTTAAACCAAGCATTCCGACATGAAATGTGGCAGTCTTCACTGACAGCCCATTCCCTGCCGAGACTTTTAGAGGCATTATTTTTAAATGTTGTTATGATTTTTCTCAATATTACATTTTCAGATATATATTTGGGTATGATATGTATCTGGGTTCAAGTAGTTTTAATCATATGTGTGTGCATATAATTGCAAAAATGTAAATATGCTAAGCATTCTCTCACAAATACTCTTAAATAATAAAAACCAAAAACCTAAGTATAACAATGGTGTCTCCAGGAGTGAATAAGTTTCACAGCACACCAAAGATGAGGATTTTTGTAAATATCCTTTAAACTTACAGCTGCTACTCAATTGAGTTTGCAATTTGCAGCTTACGAGAAAATGGTCAGAAATGATGAAGGCCCCAGGCACTGGTACATGAACAGAGTTATAAAAAGAGCAGAGAACCCTATGTATTTTTACTTTCTATTCACCGATGTATGTGTGGTAAGACCCTATCCACCTTCAAAGGCTTTCTCGCCCAATAATTGCTGAAAACGGAACATAATTAAAAGCCTTTTCCCCTAAACACCATGCCTTCTTTAAATGTTGAATGTAAGAACCTGCCCACATGGTAATAGGTTATAGGTATACTGTAGTCTTTCATACTGACTTTCAACAGTTTTCCTATTATATGAGCATATTTTTAAGCATACCTGGAGGCTGATACAAGGCTCCAGGAATGTTTGGCATATGCAGGGGCACTGGAGAGCTAGATTACAAGCAGAATAAACAAGTTATTCCAGTTCTTGGAAAAAGACTGACCAATGTCTTATCCTCCCATAGTACCTACTCTTCCCCACTCTAAGAATAATCCCTCTAGAGTCAGTCCTCGTATGTTTGAACATTTCCTTAGAAATTTAGTAACAGCATGGTGAAGCCTTATATATTCGATCCTCAACAGAGTCCTACTTTATTGTTTTTGGATGACTACCGAATGGCCTCCCCTTAATCCCAAATTATTTTGCATTTAGCTTTCTAGTTGCCAGAAGGTACTGTCAAAAAAGACAGACCGCTTAATGGAAAAGAAAAGTTAATGAACTAACATGGGAGCCATAATTATTCCACACATCAAGGCAAAGATGGAATGGTTTCCAAGGGGAAAGCAGACGTATCAAAATGTTTTCACTGGAAATTCAAAGCAGTATTTTTTAAACACTGAACTTGGAGGAAAGGTGTAACATTTGATTAGTGTGTTACTACTGATAATCTCAGATCAAGTGTATAACACGAGTTTCTTAAATAGAAGAGGAGCAACAGGAAAAGTTTGATAAGGACCAGTCTCCTCTAGCAGGGGAATGGCAGTTCTGCCATATGGTGTTAGATGATGCAAAGATGGCATCAGTGGCAGGGAGGCCACTGTGAGGGCCTTCTGGAAGGAAGTATGGATGCCTGACACCTGCCACATTTTTCAAGCACTGAGTTGGCACAGTCACAACTAAATTAGAACGATTTAACCTTCATTAACCCCTACCTGCGCTGATGAAAGTAGAGCGAATAATTTTCCAAATATAGGAGAGAGGGAGAGCCTTGATTTTAGACTCCGTGGAATTCTGTGAGTAAGCCAGATACGACTGTCTGTTCACCCACGCTGTCAGGCGTGGTGCCCACGATTCTGTTTATTTGGAGACTGTGAACCTCAAGTCAAGATACCTCAGCTTCCAGTGTTTTTGGCTGAAAAATAAGATGAGCTGTCAATTGACGGATTTTTTTTATAGAAAAATGAGCAGTGGAGGATTTATGGTGCAAATAAATATTGTGCCAGAACAGCTGGCAAGCGTAAGAGCACGCACCGCTGGTATGTTATCTGCAACCTCCCACACACATACCGTGAGCTGCAACTCAATAAGTGGATGATTACAGAGGTTATGAGAAAAGTAGAAATAAATACAGTGAAGTTTAAAGAACACCTGGTAGGAAAGATAACTCGCTTTCTAACAGACTCCTCAGCTTCATGGGAGGCAGTTTAGAGTAATGGGTAGGAAGACAAGCTCTGCAGGGAAGCGACCTTGACTCCTAATTTCATAAGCACCAATTATGAGCTGTGGGAATGGCTCAAGTCACTAAGCCTCTCGAAGCCTCAGTTTCTTTATCAACACAGAAAGTTGATAATGTTGCTTGCCTCGTAAGGTTATAGAGAAAATAAACCACTTGTCACAATTCTGAACACATGATGTATGTTTAATAAGTGCTAGAGATCAATTTTGACGTTAATAATGCCTGTATTTGGCTCATTCTAATTCATGATGCCAATATTTTCTCATATCCAATATTGCCCATTTTCATTAAAATTAGAATAACAGCAGCTACATAATATAGAGCCTGTGTGGGGTGGTTACAGAATATACTATGGTTGGTGATGCTTCACATTATAAATGGAAGTATTTCATCCCGAAAAGATATTCATGTTCAATGAATGGTTTTCAATACTGTCTTACTCCTAACAATAAGTGAAAATACGTAGATCCTACAAGTTTTTGAGTCTTATGCGCAGGGAAAGGGTGTGAGAACATGTTTTATTTATTTTTATTAACCTATATACATAGTCCCTGGGTAGTCATACTTTTCCTCAGGCCTATGTAAATATCACAATGTCAATTTAAACTTTTAGAAGAAGGAGTTAAGGTTCTGTGCAGAGAATGACAGTTAAGTCACTGACTCAACAAGTTCTCTGACAAAATTTACATAGATTCACAGACACAGCGATCACTTAATACTCATGTTAAAAAAATGAAACCTAGTTTTAGTCAGTAATCTAAAGCCCCATGAGTTCAATGCCCATTACTATATTGCGCACTACCAGTGCCTAGCACATAGTCTGGCACCGAGTAAATTCCTAATGATAACAAAGTAAGCCAATGACACTGATTCTCTCCCCCACCCCTACCTCATGTGTATGTGTGTGTGTGTGTTTGTGTGTGTGTGTTTGTCTAATATTTAAAATCCATTTACAAGGTTTATTTCCTCATACTTAGGATATGTTCTTGTCATTATTGCTGCTACTTTGATGACATGCCCATACTAGAATTTTAAATGCACCATCCCTAGGGACAGGCATTGTGGTTGAGTGGCTAAAGCATCATTGCTTGGGACACCCAAATCCTATCTCAGGGTGCTGGCAGCTCCTTTTCCAACCCAGCTTCCAGCTTATGTATTCTGTAAGGCAGCAGATCACAATTCAGGTCTTGGAGTTCCTGGCATCCACATGGTAGACATGGATGGAGCTTGGGGATCCTGGCTTCAACATGGCCCTCTTCTATCTGTTGTGGGCATTTGGGAAGTAAACTAGTACATGAAAGATTTCTCTCTCTCTTTCAAATAAAAACAAAAAAATTTACAAACTAGCAATTTTTAGGTAAAACTATCCCTATTACAGATGAAGAAATAAAAGATCAAGTGTGTAAGAGTTGGTTGAATTCAAATCTACACACCTAGGAAAAGTGAGAACTAGGTGTGAACCTCTACACGCCATTCTGTATCATCCCATTGAACTTTCCAACTCACTCACGCTTTAGCTTCTCCTTGCCTAGATATGTGGTACAAGTTGAGGTGTACATGATAATCTCTTCTGTACTTTCTTTATCCCTATGAGAACATTAGTTATGCAACAGGGAACACTAATTATTCCCTTTATGTTCCCCATCAAATAAAGATTCATGCAAGTATGCAGCAAGGATTAATTCTCCTTTAACAAAATAAGCTTATTATATCCAACAAGTTCAAAGGTGTAAATTAACTATTTCCTATACATTTGATTGTGCTATTTGCATAGTGCTTCATGCAGCTGTTAGCTTCACCAAAACAGTTAAACATCACTACCCACCAATCATATTCTAGCAGAGACAAGAGTATTCAGTTATAAAGGTCTTTGCTTTCATATTTTTTCATTGCACTAAGTAATATTATTAATAAATCAATATTTCTGTCTGTTGGAAGAATGCCAGTATGTTTTGGTCATGTATAGGTAAACACTCTTGAGTTCAGTATATAAGTAAGGAGGGTTTTACCCACCCTTTTAATTATGAGTAAGTGCAGAAATCAGTGGTGCAGAAAACCCATCTGCAGTCTTGCCCAAAGGGGATTCTTTCAGGTGACTGTTAAGCCTGGATCATACAGTAAAATCTTCATTCATTTTTAGTCACAGAAAGGCCAAATTGAAGTCCATAATCTGAAACTAGTCACATACTCAAAATTTTCATGGTAAGAATAACAATATCCAGCAAAATGATTTTTCTGGATGAATGTCTCTCGTCACAAATATTTGAAAAATAGCAACAATTTCTCAATATGATGAACCAATGCAATAGTGATTCTCTCATAAAATAAACCAGACATCCACGGGGTTGGTGCTGTGGTACAGCAGGTTAAGCTACCACCTGTGACACCAGCATCCCAGATGGGTGCTAGGAACAGTGCCAGTTGATCTACTTCTCATCACCTCCATGCTAATGGCCTGAGAAAGTAGCAGAAGATGGCCCAAGTACTTGAACCCCTGCACCCATATGTGAGACCTGAATGAAGCTCCTGGCTCTGGGCTTCCACCTGGCCCAGTCCCAGCTGTTGCAGCCATTTGGGGAGTGAATCAGCAATGGATGATCTTGCCTTCTCCTTTCTCTCTCTCTCTCTCTAACTCTGCCATTCAAATAAATAAAATATATCTAAAAAAAAGAAACCTAGGCATCCTAGTGATTAGCTTAGTTTAATTAATCAGAACATATATTTAAGAAAGTAATTTAAAATTTATAAAAATTTAAAATAGAAAGTATGGGTTCAAAACTAATAATAGTATTATAGATTTCATTTCATGGTGGCTTACTGTAAATTAAGTCCTATACTGAGGAATTAATGATTAGTCACTCAGTTACGTATACTTAGGTCCTACAAGGCAAATGCTACGCATCCTTCAAAATTATGCTGTTACATGTCAAGACTCTTAGGGCTAGCAATTTGAAGCAATCTGCAGAGTCAGTATGTGATATGCCTACCCATTTGACTTTGGGCGTAAACTCTTAAAACCTTACATAGAGTAAATGGAGTGAGACAGTGGCTCAACTCCCCAACTTACTGTCCTAGGATAAGAGCTAAGTCTTAGTCAAAGAGATCACATAAACAATACTAGTGTCTGCTAATACTGTCTGATAGAATTAAGAAGGAGAGAACGATCCAGCATGGGAAGCGGGATACACAGCAGACTCATAGAATGACAGATGCCCTAAATAGCACTCTGGCCTCAGAATCAGCCCTTAAGGCATTTGGATCTGGCTGAAGAGCCCATGAGAGTATTTCAGGCATGGAAAGCCAAGACACTGAAAAAAAAAAAAAAAGTGACCTAAATGAAAGATCTCTGCGAGTGAGATCCCAGTGGAAAGAACGGACCATCAAAGAAGGAGGTAACTTTCTCTGAATGGAAGAGAGAACTTCCAGTTTGACTATGACCTTGTCTAAATAAGATTGGAGTCGGCGAACTCAAAAGGCTTCCATAGCCTTGACAACTCATGACAAGAGCCTAGGGTGATTACTGAGGCCATAAACAAGAGTGTCAATTTGCTAAGTCAACAACAGGAGTCCCTGTGCACTTACTCCCCATGTAGGATCTCTGTCCTTAATGTGTTGTACAATGTGAATTAACACTATAACTAGTACTCAAACAGTATTTTTCACTTTGTGTTTCTGTGTGAGTGCAAACTGTTGAAATCTTTAGTTAATGTATGCTAAACTGATCTTCTGTATATAAAGGGAATTGAAAATGAATCTTGATGCGAATGGAATGGTAGAGGGAGCAGGAAATGGGAGGGTTGTGGGTAGGGGGGAGGTTGTGGGGAGGGGGGAAGAAGCCATTGTAATCCATAAGCTGTACTTTGGAAATTTATATTTATTAAATAAAAGTTAAAAAAAGAGCTAAATCTTAAACTTTTCAGAGGTCTTAAGTAAATGAGAAAAATAAGCATAAAAAAGAAATATAAAGAGCTTAAATTAAGTTGTAAAGAATGTATTTTCTTTGACTTTTTCATTTTTTCTTTTTGAAAAAATGGAGATACTATATGTTAATCTGGTTTTCTTTTATGCATAAATATGTTTATTTGGAAAAACTGAAATATTAACAAATGCCATTCTTTCCCATTAAAAATATTTTTTCAGAAGCTAAAAGAAAGGATTTTGAACTTAGCCCCTGCACCAGACAGGTCTGAGCTGCTTTCTGAATTGAGGACCTTGTTTCTCTGATGCATAAGGGTGACTAAGGCAAACAGGAGAGGAAGACTTCATATGAATTAAGGTGTGGATGTGGGAAATACCGACATGAAGGGGAAAAAAGCAAACATTTTAGGGGCCATTTCACAGAAACAGTAAATGCTGGGGGAGACCCTGATGTTTTGGGTTATGCTACGTTGGGTTGAATGCCAACTTGCTTTTGAACCGGATAAGTTTGTGGTGAAGGATTCAGATGGAAAGACACCTGGTAAGAAATATAAGAAGAACTTGTATTTTCCTGATCAGATAAATACGAAATTTCTCAAGATGAACAGGTTGGAGGGAATAGGGAAGTGGTTAATTTCCCAGCCTGACACCTGTCCCTTTGGAGATTTATCTTAGGTGAATATTGCCAGTATTGCACTGGATGGGGTATGGGCATCCTCTCTTTAAATTTCTAGACTGAGCCTGAATGTGCACCACTT